TTGGTGGTCTTACATTGGTCTCCACACCTTTTACTCCAGCTCAGAAAGAAGTGCCCACAGAGGGGCTAGGGTAGCTTCAAGTCCCCAAGTAGGGCTGGCAGAAAAGGCAGCCAGCCTGCACAGCCCACAAGCCAAACATCTGCTCTGACAAAAACTTGGAAGTCCCTTGCCCACAAATATGTCGCTTCTGGGATGGGCCTCAGCCTGAGCCGCCAGCTGCTGTAAGTTTCCATCTGAGAGGCTGTCCTATGGAGGAGGGTGGGGTCCAAGGCTGTCTGAACCTCTCTTTGCATTTTTGTGGGGAGGCGGGGGAAAACGAATTGGCTTACTTCTGGCATCCCACTGGGTATCTTGAGATCTTAGGAATACTTTCTCAGGATTGTGGGGAGCCTCACTCCTCTTCGTCGACTCTCTGTTGCTTGCTGTTTGGGGGTGATCACTTGGCCCGAGGAAGGGGCAAGGTGATGGAGGGAGTTATGGGGGCATGTGGTAAGAACGATCATTCCCAGGGCAGGGAGTACATTTTATGCTCTGTTCTGGCATTATGTTCCCTTTATTGGGTTTCCAGTGTGGAGTGGTGGAAAAGGCGGAAATGCCTGGGCACAGTGACCATGCCTGGGAACCCTGTATATTCAGTTTCCGAGGGAACATCCAAAGGCAGAGAAACCGCCTGTGGAACTGTGAGCAGTTAGAGCCTGTACACTGTGTCTCACATAACACAGGCATCCATAAATTCTCTCCAGGGGGGAATAAGTGGGGGATGGAGGTTTAGAGAGTGGGCCAGGGACTTTTAGCAGACTGGTGGGGTCCAGTGATGCTCTTGAGACCCAGAAGTAGAGATTTGGGCTGTGGTAGCGTGTCCTTCTGGTCTTCCCAGCATAGAGAAAAGGGTCTTATTCTCCAGCAGGCAGGCCCTTTGAGAAATATCAGGTGCTGGGGCTCACTCCTGACCTTATCACCCAAATATATACACCTTCTAGGGGTTCCTCTAAGGACTGCTCACACTACATTGTTAGTGATGACAAGACCTGGGTTCGAATTAGCCTACCACTCCTTAGCAAGTTGCCATGTTTTTCATGTGGGAAATTTGTCTCATGGTCATCACAAAGACTTAAAGACATTTTATTTACCTTGTAGATTTGGAAAGCCAGTCCTCTTTTTCTTTTCAGTGGTGATGGCAGATGGGTGGGTGTCTGGGACCAGGGTGTTTCTACCTTGGAATTTTCTTGTGCAATGCCCTGCTGAAGTCTCTATGGCTGAACGTGTTTCCAAAGTGCTTTTGTCTCTATTGTCAAAGTGATGATGGTGATTTTTGATCTGTTCTGAGGTCGGTGTAGACAGCCACACTGCTTAGTTCATTGCCCAAGTAGACAGACATGCATCTTCTGATTTAGGTCAACATGTTCTGTTGGGGGTCTGCTTGACATACTGGGCTTTGAAATCTAGGACTGGGGTCTGAATATGTGAACTGAACTCATTCTCATTAGAGGACAGCTGTAGCCATTGGATAGGTGGGATTCAGGCAGAGCTGTGTCCCACATCCTGGATGGTTTCCAGTATCGGGATTCCCATGAATCACAACCTCTTGGTGAGAGTTCCCCAGAGGCAGTTTAGAAATGACTCTGGCAAGACACTCCTCTGTGAGAGTGGCATGTTGGGGATGGGGAGTACTAAGCAGCCTAATGGCCATTGATGCTATAATGAGATTTTAGAGGAAGGACATAGCTTAGCTTAAGAATCCTTTGGGGCAATGATGGGTGTGTAGCAGCATGCAACACTGCATGATGGGAGATCTTGGGTGGCAGAGGACCATGATTTAGTGTCAAGGGCAGGAGTGGATGGTAGGAGGATCAAAAACAGTGTTAAATTGTATGCTTGTGTTTCTAGAACATAATGCAAAGAACCCCAAGAGTACTTGGTAGTATTTTTTTAAACAGGGTTCCTTTAAGGTCAACCACCCACCCACCCATCCATCCATGCATCCATCCATCTACCCACTGGCTTCAGAAAGTGGTTCAGGGCCATACTTGGCATTGAGGCTGCTGGGGGCACAGCTTTACGGCTTGTTTTGTTCCTGAGCTGTTTTTACTGGGACTCTTTCTCCTGGTTTGAGGAGATGGATAGAGAACCCAGCTGTTTTGTTCTGGAACAAATAGCAAGCAGGATGCTTTAACTCAGCATACTATTATGGAAATGGGGTCTTGGACAATCTACCTATTGTTTGTGCACCTGGGAGTCTACACCTCACTCGACTCATGAAATCACTCTATCAGGCAACTATGAGTATTTAAAGAGATCCTGAAAGTCTGAGTGAAGCTTTGTGTTTAGGCAATGTGAGAAGGGAATGCCACTATCTTAGGCAAAATGCTATCCAAATTGTTCCTATTTTCCAGAGCCCCTGTAGTTTGAACATTGATTTTCTTGTGGATCATGTTTGTTGAGTACCAGCTGTCTACATAAAAGATACCCACTGTAGATGCAGATATGAACAAGCTCTCAGAATTTACAGATAGTGTCAGATGTGATCCTACTTATGACAGTGAGTTACAAGTTAAATTGTGGTTGGGACAGGACAGCTAACTGCATCTTTCACAGGCATTAGAAAAATTCATCCTAACAGTTTCCTCCTTATCCCCTGCTCATTTCTGACTGTGGGATATGCCACTTAATGGCCAGTGTTGTTACTTAAATGCTTTCAAAATATCACAAATATTCCCCAGAGTTAAGTAGAGGCAAGGCCCCAGAATCTCAGTGCATCTTTGCTCTAGTTCCTTGTTGAACAAATATGCTGGGTTTAGTCAAGGACAAGATATGCTCTCAGACAGCATCTCTCCCTTGGGAATGGCAATTCAGAGAAGTCACAATGACATAAAGGAATTCTTTTCCAAGTTAGAATTCTTTAAAACTTACTCTAAAGTATAAACAACTATTCAAGGGTAGATAGTGGGCAGGATTGGAGTGGTGTGGGGAGAACAGTTTATAAAACTAGTAATTACTATGGTAACTAGATTTAGTTTCTTTAAAACATCTTTCACACATCTATCCATCCCAACAAGTGAGTCTTTTAAGTATTACTGACAAGGCTTGGAGAGATGGCTCAGTGCCCAAGTTTGGTTCCCAGCACCTACATCTGTCAGCTCACAACCATCTGTAATTCTAACTCCAGTGAATCAAACCTTTTCTTCTGGATTCCATAGGCACCTGCATTCACACATGTACATACTCACAGAGAGACACAAACACATGACTGAAAAACAAGACTCACTATTAAATAATAAGGAAAAAACCCAAATCTTGGAATTCTCAGCTAAAAACTTGTGAGACCAAGGTTGGGGTAGAATTGAGAGGTACTTAAGGAACCTGGAGCCAGGAACAACAGGGTGACCAGGTTCTTGAGCCATTTTTCTGTGCGCTGCCTGGCTTACTAGAGACTGCTAGTCTCTTCCCTGCAAGACATACTTCAGGGCCATGTTGGCTAATCTTGGGTGTCCATTTGGCTGAATTGAGAACTGTTCAGGGGATTAATAAAGTGGTCCTCTGGAGGTGTTTGCAAGGGCATTTCTGAAGACTATCACATCATGAAGGCCTTGACCTAATGAATATGATGACATTGTAGGGAGGTTACAAAAGACTTAGCTAGATCTGGGAAGTATGTCACTGAGAACCTGTCCCTAGAGGCTATATCTTGCCTTGGCCGCTTTCTCCATTTCCTCTCTCCACTTTCTGTCTATTGGGTGCTTCTCCTACATCTACATGATCCCTCCCGTGTGATGTTCTGCTCAAGCACATTAGGACCACTGACTAAATCCTCAAAAAAACCACAAGGCATAACAGAACCTTCCTTTCTTCAGTTGCTTATGTTAGATAATCTGGCCACAGTGATGATGACATAGCAAAGATCCCTGGAACTTTTATAATCAAATGTTAAGTAGGGGCAAAAAAAAGGCCACCTGACTGAAGGGGAGGGATAAGACCCTCGGGGTAGAAACATAGAGGCCATCAGCCCCATGGTTCCACTCTGGCCTGTGGAGCAGCAACTACATCCATGAGAATTTCCCCTCCGAAACAACGGATTCTCTTTTGTGTTTTCTCAACCTGCCCCTCCCACCCTCAGGTATGGGCATCTTCCATACTGTTGCTAGGGAAAACTGGCAACCACACATCTGGAACCATGTATTTCATCTGACGCACAGCTTGCTCCCTTAGATCAAGTCTGCAGCCCAAAGTTCCCACCAAAATGGAGCGGTGACCTTTCCTTGATTGACTTCCTGAGACCCAACAGATGATGCCATAATGAACTCAAGAAGAGTATGAAACTCACTCCTCCTGGCTCCCCCAGTTTGTCATACCATCATGCACAGGGAACTACCATTAGTATACCAATTGTACCTTGTTTTCTTGAACAAGTCATGTGTGTTTTTAAATGCTCACTCCTTAAGAGGGTACAAGGCTCCTCCTCACAGTCTGTGGTTTGAGTGTTCCTGACTTATTTCAAACATGTCAGGTTGAACCTTATCACATTCCCAGAGCCTGTCCCTACCCAAGGGAGGCTAGATGCCTTTTCCCTGAGCTGTGACCATTTGTTCAATGGCAGCATTATCCTAAAGCAGCGGTTCTCACCCTTCCTAATGATGAGACCCTTTAATACAGTTCTTCATGTTGTGGCAACCCCTAACCACAAAATCATTTCATTTGCTACTTCATAACTGTAATTTTACTACTGTTATGAATCATAATGTAAATATTTTTGGAGACAGAGGTTTGCCAGGGGGACTGTGATCCACAGGTGGCGAACCACTGTCCTAGACTATTATCCTTTCCATGACAGTAACCTGGTGATACTTCCCAGGAGTGATGTTTGATACAGAGTAGCAAGTACCTGCCTTCTTCACTGGACATGTATAAACACGTGAATGAGAGGAGAGTATGGAAAACGGGACCCTGATAATGTAGCCCTGGCCTGGGCAGCTTCAGCCAGACCAGAGACAAGGGACACTCACATATTCCACTTCCTTGGATGGGTCACCCAGGCTGCCATTGGTGGTTGGGGCAGTGGTCTCTGTGCCTTCTGGCTTTTCCTGTGTCTTGCCTTCCTCCTTGGGCAAGCCTCCCTGGCCTGGGAGGGCCACTTCGCCCACCCCAAGGGCCTCGCTTTTGTACTGCTTGACAAATTCTTCCATTGCTTTCAGCTCACTTTCCACAAGTCCTCGGCAGCGAGAGGGGTCCTGGTCATAGATAGGGAGCTGATGCATAAGCTGGCGTCGGCGGTAGAGGGCACCCTCAGTACCTGTCACCGGCTGCTTCTCCTTGGGGATGAGTTCCATGTACTGTAGGCCCTAGGGGGATGGAGTGGAAGAGACAATGTCGCAAGGCAGTAGTTCATGGTCATAGAAGCTAAGGCACAATCTACTTAAAACAAAAATGCTGATCTGCTGTTCCCAGTGATAGAAATATAAGTATGTCTTCCCTGTCTCCCTTCCTTTCTTTGTGTGTTGTATGTATGTGTATGTGTTCCCATGTGTGGATATGCATGCAGAGGCCAGAAGCCCATCTTGGCTGCTGCTGTTCTTCAAGTGCCATTGTCCTAGTTGGCATTAGCCGTCAACTTGACACAGCCTAGAATCACCCCAAAGAATCAGTTGAGTGTTTTTATCAGATGGTTTGTGGGCACTGAGGGATTGTCTTGACTGCTAATTGATGTAGGAGGGCCCAGCCCAGTGAGGGAAATACCATTTCTTGGGTACTCAGATGCCTAAGCAAGCTGAACAAGCAATGGTTCGCCACAGGTTCTGCTAGGAAATCCTACTTAAGTTCCTGCCTTAATTTCCTTTAATTGTGAACTATGACCTAGATGTGCAAGCTAAATAAACACTTTACTCCCCTGAGTTACTCTTGGTTAGAGTGTTTTATATCATCAATGGAAGGTAAACAAGGAGCCCATCTACCTTTTGTTTGAGGCAAGGTCTCTCATTGGCCTTGAACTCACCACATAGGCTAGATTGACTGGGCATCAAGTCCCAGGAAGGCCCTTGTCTCTGCCTTTCCAGAACTGGGGCTCCATGTGACACCATGCCTGCTTTTTTTTTAAATGGGTTCTGGAGGCTTGAACTCACACTATATCCTTAAAAGGTATGCTCTTAGCTATAGAACTCTCACCTCAGCCTGGTTGTGTGTGTGTGTGTTTTTTTTACTTTAGCTTTTCTTTTACAAGCAATACCTGTCCCATATCTCAAATAAAGATACATAGGTGAGAGAGAGAATGCAAAGGGGAAATGCATGCCCTGTAGTTTGCATGTACTGAGCCTCTTCTGTATCTTTTCCTTGATGTTAGAGGCAAGGATGTGAACCTGTGTCTGAATTCATCAAGCTGTAGCCCCAGGGGTTCCCTGCTCTATATGATGCCATCCTCTGATCGACAAAGCATTTAAGAACTCTTCCCGGAGGTTTACCCAAGCCAGCACACATGCTAGGCTGGTGCTCTACCACTGTGCTACCAGTTTTGACAGGTGAGAAAGAAACACTGACTTACACCTGTCAGCTGGCTCTCCGTTTGTTCACCGACTAGTCATGGCAGTGCTAGCTGATGACTGAGTTAGTTGGTTGTTCATTCCCCATGAGCTACTGTGATTTTTCACTTTGCAATGACATTAGGAAGAGAAAGGGTATCTATATGCTCATTTCAGTTTCCATCAGAATGGAAATGAAGATCAATTTGCTTTGTTGTCTAACGTGAAATGAATGTGATGACAAGTGAGATGGTTAATATGCATTGTCAGCTTGACTGGCTTTCAGGTCACCAGGGAAACACAATTTGGGGTGTGTCTATCAGAGTGTTTCTAGGGAGGTTTACTGAGTAAAGAAGATCCACCCTGAATGTGGTCAGCACCATCACGTGGGCTGTGGGTCTCAGAGGGAATAAAAAGTTCGCTGGGCGTTGGCATTCTCCTTCCTTTCTGCTTCTTGACTGCAGATGTTATGTGACCAGACACTTAGAGTTCCTGCTGCCATCACTTTCTCACTATGATGGCCCGTGTATGTTTCTCAGTTGCAAAGATGAGCACCATGCAAGCCCAGCAGGCTCTGGGATTTGGTGACAGGCCTATAGGACCTACGGCACGATACTGACTGCTCAGTTTCCTTTCCCCTTGCTTTCCTATCAGTGACTTTCCTCCTTTTGAAATACACCTGCACTTGGCTGCCATGTTTGTTAACTGATGTAGTGTGCGACAAGCTTTTGGAAGACTTGCTAAAATGTTGATTCACAGGGCAGTTGTGGCACCCAAGGGACTGAGAATCTCAGTCACTGATGCACAAAGTTGCTTCAAACTACTGTCATAGTTTGACTGTGGAATATCTCTCATAGCTCAAAAACTGGTTTCCCTGCTGGTGGTGTTCTTTTGGGGGGAGTTGTGAAACCTTTGGGAGGTGGGTCACTTGGGGAGGGGGAATGCCTTGGGATTTATAGCCACTTCTAGATCCAGCATTCTCTTTCTGCTTCCTGTTCTACTGTGAATAATCACTGGTCATATACTCCCTCGGCTACAGCCAGGGGCCACTCCTGTCACCATGACTTCCCCACCTCGATGGGTACACTCTTTCAAAATGTGAGTCATAAAAAATCCTCCTCCTTAAGTTATTTCTGCTATTTGTTCTGTCACAGCAACAAGGGGGAATGACTAATATAACTGCTTTTCAGTGAAACACTAGCAAGAAACAAATGTATGAGATCAATCAACTGCAACCCCAAGCACCTATCAGGGGAACTGAGGCAAGTTCCTCATGCTTTGGGAGTTTAAAACTCACGGATTCTCCAAGAAGAGGTGCTGAGACTATTGGTAACACCCAAGAGGCACTTGAGTGAGTTTTAACTTGTCTGAGGCATCACCACAGATTCTCATTTTGGGGGGGAAAACAAAGCTCATTTTAGATTCGCCAGCTTCGTAGCGTGGATTTTGTTCCTTTCCAAATGGAACATTTTTATTTCATTTACCTCATGGGCAAGCCCCCTGATTAAAAGAAAAATCAATCTAGTTTAAAATTACTTTTCTTAGAAAAGTATAATTAGATCATTATGGGAATAAGCTATTTCATGGTTTATTAATTTTAAAATACGTGTCAGCACCTCTAAGAGTAGAATCGATAGGGTCTAAAGTCAATAGCACCCTTCCATATGGCTGGTAATTGTCGGAATATTAATGTGTTTAGAGATAACTATTGTTTCCTTCACAGCCAGAGGTCTCAGGGATGGGAGGTCAGAGGGGTGACAAAGGTCAAGGTCACAGTACAAGAAATTGAGAGGCAAGTTGCTTATTCTGGGTGGCTTTTTCATCTCTGCCCTGTATCTCATCGCCAGCTTGCCTGGTTCCTACTGTCCATCCTCTGTGAACCCAGCTGGCCTGACTTTTGCCACTCAGAGCTAGACTCCCTTAGAAATATGAAGACTAACATGTAAAGGTCCACTAAAAACCACAGTGAGCAGCCAAAGCTGCTGTCGGATACTAGTAAGCAGGGGTGCCATAACGCGAGTGGTGACTGTCCCCCAAGATTCATGAGTTAACAATTTGGTTTCCTGCTTTGCTATTGGGGGTGGTGGACATGTAAAAGAGGTGGAGTGTAGTGGGATTTTTAGATCACTTTGGGACAAGCCTTTGAAGGGGTAGAGAGGGACCCTGGTCCCTTCTTTCTTGCTTCCTGGCTGTAAAGTGAACAGCTTTCCTCGTGTTCCTACTGTAGTGTCACATGGACCCACTCCATCACAGACCCAGACCTCTAAAACCAGGAGCCCAAACAACCCCTTCCTCGTTATGAGTAGTCTATCCATGCATTTGTCATAGCAACGGGAAGCTGAATAACATGTGGGAAGAAGTTGGGTTGTCATGTCCCAGGCCTGGCAGTCACTGTTTCTTTCTTTTTTTTTCAAATAACTAAATTCTGGGGAGGACAAGTGCCATGTGGCCAGCTTCTGCTGAAGTCAGATTGACATCTGACTGGGGATTCCTTCATGTTGAGTGTGTCCTAGATCCCTGGAACCCCCATCTGAGTCTTTGCTGGCACAAAATTCTCATGGTGCACTTGGTCAACTCCAGGTCCATCTGCACATGCGCAGTTGTTTTCCAAGTGCTTTCCCAGAAATAGGAGGTGGCCAGAGTCCTGGGATGGTGGGGTAGAGACTCAGCAAATAACTCATTTCCCCAACTGCCTGACCCCTGTGGACTTCAGTTTTGTCATCTGTCAAGTTCAAGGAAGGCTGCATGACCTCTATGAGAGGACCAAGACAACCTTGCTAGACCATCCTCACAACAGAGTGAGAAGCTGATAGTTTACTCCAGTTAATGGCTTGAAGAGGGCCAAAGGGGACAACAGATTCCACCTGGCCAGGGAGGCTGAGATCCTCTGAGAAGGGAAGGGATTCTTCTCTACCCTGTATTAAGAGGCAATGGGTGTAGTTTTTTTGTTTTGTTTTTGTTTTTTGGTTAATGAGAAGTAACAGGTGGATTGTAGCATGACTGTATTACCTTGGTGGCTCTCAAGAACCAAGGTTCAGTCCTTTGGGTGTGTAGGAATCATTTGGAAGCAGTGAAGTGATTTTAATGCATTACCACCTTGCAATCAGAGGGGAATTAGCTGTGTCTGAAAGGGAGCCCTCAGAGAGGTTCTTTTGTGTGCACAGATGAAGCGGACATCTAGGGTCAGTCTCTCTGGGGGCAATGAGGGGTGGCAGGGAAGGGGCAGTGGCCATCAAAAGACAGTGAGAAATTGTTGCTGAATATGCCAATGTCTAGGTCAGGGTATAGGGCCTTGGGGATGGATTAGGACACAGCTTTGGGTGGTCAAGTCACCCACACAGCCCTCCCAGGGACTGTGCTTACCCCATTATCCAAAGAACGAGTTTGGGAAGGCAGAGATAAGAATTTGCTATTCTGGCAACAACTTACTATTCCAGTTGTTGAAGAAGACCAGTCGCAAAGTTCATCTCTTGGGGAGTAATTGCTTTTCTTGATAGGGAACTAGATTCCCCCAAGTTCAGTGGTTTAACAATGGTGGGGATAGCCTGCCATATGGTGGATCTTACCATGTTCTGGAAACTCTTATCATTAAAGCTCTTATATATCTGCTGACCCCTTTAATTCTCATGGAAGCCTAGGAGGAATGCACTGATATAATCTGAGAAACGGGCACAGAAGGCTCATACAGATAATATGCAGTGGCAACAGCTTTGGACCCAGTAGCATGGGTCTCAAGTTCTTTTCTTCCCTGTCACCTAGTATTTGGGTCTCCTGTCACTTGGGTGCATCTGTTTTTCTGGCCTTCAATATTTGCCCTATCCTTTGCCAGGAATCAAATAGCGTTGATACTTATCTTTGCACCCATAGTGTTCCTTAACAACTTTGCATTAATCATGGGCATGTGTAGTTGCAAATGGATTCTTGACTAGGCCTTGGGGAATGGGAGATTTCCTCCCTCAGGACCCAGCGTTTCTGTTGCAACTGTGTCGTTGGCTCCATCTTTGCACCATCAAGAACCCTGCATATTCACTTGCCAAAAGTGTATGGCGTGAGGCTCAGAGGTCTAGCCTTGCGTGTTTGCCATCACTCCTCTAGCCATGCTCATGACAGACATTGCTAGTTGATCCTTGATGATCCTGCTTGTGATCCTGCTCAGCCCAGGCCTCCAGGCACTCACTATGGATTAATACAGTATAGAATAAGATGGCAGTTAGAAGTCTAGGTCCCAGTGATGTCTGACACTGGTCTGGCTTTTGTAGGACAATCTTGCAAGTGTCTCTCTAAAATGGTGGTTAAAATCACATTACCCAGACCTTTAGGGAGAGGTAGCCCAGCTGGAAAGACTCATTTAATATTTATGAATTTCCTAGGGGGCCAGGGTAATGCTCTACTCTGCATCTGATGGGGACATCTCAGGTGGAGAGCCTTCTAGATTCCATAAACACCAGGAGATCTCTTATGCTGAGAGCTAAGGCACAGGCAAAGGGGTCTCCTGGGTTTTGCAGGAGAATACACCTGGGCTCTGGAGTCAGAACATGCAGCCCTCACTCCAATGTCTCTCTTCTTGAGTTTCCTCTTGCTGTTAGTTAAGGATTATAAATGTGTTCCATCTCACATGTCAAACCCAGGTGACAGCACCCAGAGTCTTTATTAAGTAGGATGCTGAGGTATGATGGGCTCAGTGGGAGGCAGATCACTGCTGACTGTCAGTGTTCATCTTGGATGTGACAGCAGATCATGAGGCATGAGACTCACAAGCTTGGGTGTGCTACCCCTAAGATGGACTGTGACATGCTCAGCCACAGAGTAGCTGTGACAGAAGGAGTGGCAGACATTCAGAAGACATACATGTAGACTGCTTAGTAGATGCTGGTTACCTCCACTTTCTTTTCTGCCTCCTTTCCTGGCTAGTGGCCAAAGCCTACTCCAGCTTCTTTCCCTTCTTGGAAGCCTGCTTTAAAATAAGCTAACCCTCCTGCTTGCCTCCTCTCCCACATGGCCTGGGGTGGGCTTGGGCTTGAAGGAATATAGGCATTGATGGGAGTGGGTATGGCGGTCTGAGATCAAGGGTTGGCTCCACCTAAATCAACTGGGCATCTGGCTAGTTGCAGGCCCTTGCTGAGCCTCAGTTTCTCTTTAGGTACCTGATTGCAATAACAGTATATGTCTAACACATTGGGAAATCAAACAAGGCTATGGGTGAAATACTTAGTTTGGTGACCTGTGCACAGCAGTTCTTGATACACAGGCACAGGCAGGCTGATGGGCACCAGCCTGGAAGACTGATAGAGTTCTCTAGCTTTCATTCTGGTAGGGAAGGATGATGGACAGCCAGATTCTGTCCCTCTTCCAAAATTCAATCAGGCTCGACCACTTGGTAATGAAAACCAAGAAGGGAGGGTGAACAAGAAGAGAGTGTTGATTAGTGCCAGAACTGAGACCAGCCAGCTGTGAGGCAGACAGGAAGGCTTTGTAGTCAGGCAGTTTTACAAGGCCGCATTCACCACGACCCTCTGATGGCTGCCCCTGATTAGATGGGAAACATATCCAGGGCTTTCACCAGCCTCTTCCTAATACCCCAAGCCAGCTCTTTATGACTTGATGGATGTGTCCCACTGACTTTGTGAGCCCCAACTGATGATTTGCACACCTTGGGGGCTGAGAGAAGACCAGATTTCTGGATACCCTGGCATATCCTGGTTCTGCCACTGCTCCCTCTGTGGCCAGCCATCAGCTCTTGATTTACCTGGACCACTTGCAAAAGCCAGTCTTTGTTTCTTGTCGTGTAAGGTAATCTGTCCCTTGCACGGTGGTGGAGTTCATGAAAGCTTAAGAGCTATTCATTGATTTATTCATCTAAGATCAAGAGGCTTCCGTGCCTGAGGAGGGAGGACTGCTACTCTGTTTTCCTATAGGGTTGTTGAGGATTCCGGACAGTTTCATATGAAAATGAACCTCTTGCAGAGAAACAAGAGCATTCAGAGAACTGTGATAAGCCATGTCCCTGGACAGAAGTGAGGAATCCCAAAGACACAATGAATGCCCCTGTATAGAATTGAAAAGCCCTGAAGTGTTCATATGAGCACTTCTCTATTCTGTGGATGAAAAAACTGAGGCCCAGACTGTGTTCATGTCATTACCTGGTGCAGGAGGAGAGCTGAAACTATGGCCATTTCTACCTCATTGCTGAGTTTCGGGGATTCATGAACTAGGTCATACTTAATGGGGGCAGGAAGAAGCCATTCTTACCAGTTTCTGGGTGACTCCTGGAGGAGCCCACTCATAGGTTATGGTGTCAAAGGTGGGGTCTTTGCCGGTGGCAATGGGGTTCGTCATGATCATGCGGTTCCTCTTATAGATCCGGATGCCATCTCCACCTTTTACCCGGGCAGTGAGGGTGGCATACTTGGAGTCCATCAGCAGGCGCCCGATTTTCCGATCGTCGTCCAGGTCAGAGCTCAGGCAGTGCTCCTCCTGGCTGCATTTACAAGACTTGCATATTTTCCTGGGGGACAGTGGAAAGAAGTGAGGTCATCCTCCATAGAAGGCATTCTTTGGCTGTAGCAGCATCATGTACTCTTTTGTACCCAAGCACAGACTTTTACTTTATTAACCTGAAAAGATTAGCAGTAGACAGACAAGGTCTTTGGGACTGGGAATAGCATTGGGGCAGCACACCTGTCTCTCTTTCTGTCTAGCTCTGGGGAGCTCAGAATGCAAATATTATCTGAGAAGGTCGTATTCCATGTTGGTTGTAAACAAGAGCTGCAGTTTCCTCTTGGTGATTACCACAGCAAAAGCAAATTTATTCAAAATGTGTGGGGATTGTGGTCTGAACCTGACCCCTGACTTTCTTTTTACAAATAAAGTTTTATTGAAACACAGCATGCTCATTTATTTGTGTGCCTACCCTTTGTTGCTTTGGGGCTAGAATGGCACAGTTGAATAGTTGCAACAGAGATCCTCTGACCCTCAAAGCCTAAAATATTACTTGGCCCTTTACAAAACAAAAGTATGATAAGTTTGCTGCTCTTAAGAATCATTAAAATTGTCTCCTATGATTCATGAGCTGCATAAGTTCTGGTTGAAATTCTGCAGCATGCCCACTGAAGTGAGATCTGGTGGGAATTTTCTTCAGATTTGTGGACAGAAGCCAGGGGGATGGGAGTGAACTGAGTAAAACCTTCCAGCTCGGGAGATTGATGTCTCTGGAGGGTGGCTCTGTCAGGGGCCCAGGAGGAGGAAATACATTCTGGGGAAGTTTCAAGTTCACTTGAAAGCCCTGGTGCCTCTCTCTCTGCCAATTAATAAAAGAAAGTGTTTGACTGTTTTGTGTCATGCTGTTAAGGTTTAGAACTCCAGAGAGTTCCATGGTGTGAGAAGAAAAGTGTTCTCCCCTCCCTTCACAGGCCTGTCACCATAGGTTTGCTGTGCAGTGTCTCAGACACCCCAGTGCATGCAATTTAAGAGACTGTTAAAAAAAAGTGAGCAATGTTAAGACCAACCACAGGGACTAGGGCAAGGCAAGGGGGCTTGGCTGTAGATGCATTATGGATCAAAACAACCCCAAATGGCTGTCAAAGGTATCCTTGGATAGTCTTAGAGTGGTGGTCACTCAACTCAGATCATGTCCCTCACTGGGAAGTTAGCAATTTTGGCAGTTTTCATAGCTAGGAGAAGGCTGAACTGCAATAGAATTGTGGGGCATAGGATACTTCTGCTTGACTCACTCCCAAATGTAGGTAGGTGGGACACAGATGAGAGTTCAGTTCTTTGTGCTCTGGAGTCTGGAAATTGTTGAGTTAAGGAAGGCTAAAAAATCCCAATTTTTGTTTAGTGTCAGGCTGCATCACATCTGGTGGCATGATGGACAGAATGTTTACATCTGGTTTACTGTTCTGTGACAAGAGTTAAATCTATGACCTGAAGGATTTATCCCAGCACCATAGGAGACAGTGAACCTTAAGGATACTGCAGGGTAACACATAAGAAGTCTTTTTTTTTTTGGTCCCACAGAAGAGTCTTTGTGTAAGAAGAGTTGTTATGTGTAAGTGGGCATCTTACTCACAGTCTATTGGATTCTCTTAGCTGGAAGGCTAGTGATGGACAGTGATAGTTATTTTCACTTGAGAGCAGAAGTGGAAAGAAAAATTTCAGTTTGTTGGGATGCAGGAAAGCCCCAACTGTAAGCCTTTTGTGTTCCCCTTGACCCTTTGACCTCCCTGTACCCTGTATGTGAAACTGTATATAGAGCTGCTCTGTGCTGTTTTGATTAATATGGGATCCCAGAATGCTACCTGAGCCACAGGGAATGCAAACCATTGAAGACAGGGAAACTTTAGCAGGCGTGAGGATCGTGTTCATGTTACTTCCTCTGGTAGTCATGTTCTTCTTACTGCTGGGCACACTGCTGCACTGTGACAGTTGAGGGAGACAACAAATACCCCACTCTGTTTTACCTTTTGTTAGGAACCCATACTGTGAGGGACACATACACATCCCCAAAGAACCTAGGTAGCATTATGTGGCCAATTCTCCCCTCTTTTTGGATAGGTGCAGGCTCTCCCTTCAAACCAGTCTGACTGACATTCAGTCATTTATATATCTGTTGTGATTTGAATATGAAGTATCCTGCATGGTCTCACATGTTTGGATAATTGGCCCCCAGTTAATGGTGATGTTTGTGTGGTTATAAAACTTTTGGAAGTAGAGCTTTGCTGAAGGAAGAATACCAGTTGGGGCGGGCTTTGAAATTTTATAGACTGACCCCACTTCCTATTTTCTCTCTCTTCTGAGCTGCTGAAGCAACATGAGGGCCCAGCCTCATGTCCTGCTGTCATGCTTTCTCCACCAAGATAGACTATCTATGTTTTCTATAACTGTGAGCCCAAGTACATTCTTTCTCTTAACGTTGCTTTTCTTGGGGCATTTATCACAGCAACAGAAATTAAACTAATACAGCATCTTCATCAACAGACTGTGAAAACTGGAACATGAAGATGTGTGCAAGTGTTTCCTTCCTGAGATGCTGTGACATCACTGTATCCACATGGGTTGAATTTAAGTTCCTCATATGGTCATTCCAATGCAAGATGACATGTCCCATGTAGGACCTCCAAATTAAATCTACGCTTCTCAAAAAATTCATTTGCTAGTCAACCCATAGGCAGGATGACAAGGAAACATAGGGATTAAAGCAATGCAACGAGACTTCTGTTCCTAGGAAGCATGAGGGATAGGGCCAGATTGTTCTGCCTTCATAAACAACTGGACGACCAAACCACATACACCAAAGGACCATTTTTTTAGGATGCTAGTTTAGTGGCAGCCCAGGATTGACCCTTACGCATCAAGTGAACATTTACTCCCTGTCTCAGGAAGTTTACAGAGACCATCTAGCTGTCCACAAAGAGTTCAAGAGATTCCTCAATATTGTCTGAGACCCTGATGGAAGGACTATAGAACTGACACAATGGATAAGTTAACGTCCCCCCCAGGCTACAGTCTGCTCAAACGGCTAAAACAGGAATGGATGGAATCCTTGCTGCTGTGATCATGTCAGCTGAAGGAGGAAGTTAGGTAGGGGATAGAGGCCTGGGTGATATGACGTCCAATGTCCCATCCATATGGGAGACCATGTGCACTCCTCTGAAGGCAAGACCTATCAGGAAGTGGAGTAAAGGAATGGGCAGTGCTTTAAAAGCTCACAACCTGCCATAGTGTAAATGCTTAAGAGCAAGAGACTGTTTCATTCACAGCTAAGTTCAAAACACATCAGTTAGTAAATCTTTCCCAATTACCAACTTTTCTTGTACATGCAAAAAGAAGAAACACTATCTAATATATAATGTTGATTAACATTTCAATATAGAAGAATAGGCTATTTTCTTTTGAGACAGGGTCTCATGAATAACAGATATTTTTCAACTGTAATCTCACCATGGATGTCAGCATCTTAGGAAACACCTGGGGATTTTGATCCCCATTGAATGTCCAAGCTATAATAAGACACTGAGAACAAAAGCTTTTGGTTTGCTATGGTGTTCTATAGAGTGTGGCCTCTCTCTCTGTGGCAGCAGAGATAGTCATCCAGTTTGTGCCCTGCACAGCTCTAGAGCTACTGTCCACACAGATGCTGACATGAAGATTGCTGGGCCATTATGTTTGTTGGCAGCCTCAACATTGTTTCAGAGCCCTCATAGATAAAAGAAGAAAGACAAATTCCAGAACTGTAGCCAGACCTGACACTCCTCATGTAAAGATATTAAGATATTAATCACATGATCTGGTTTCCCAGTACTGTGGACAGAATGTCTTTGACCGTGTGTGTGTGTGTGTGTGTGTGTGTGTGTGTGTGTCTGTGTGTGAAGTCAGGGGACAACTTTGGGTGCTGTCTTTCCTTATCTCAAATACATAAGGTCTCTCATTACTTTAGAAGTTGCAAAGTTACACTGGAATTTGCCAAGAAGGCTAGCTGGGTGGTTAGGAAGCACCAGGGAGCCTCCTGTCTTTGCCTCCTTGAGGACATTTGAGTTTTGGGAAGGGAGATCAAGTCCTCAGGATTGTAGGGGAAGCACTTTACTGGCAGAACTCTCTCCTTGGCCTCTATTTCAGGAGACACATCTAGATTAAAATCAGCCCCAGAGATGTTGCTTCAGTGAGGTAAGAGAAAGTCCATCTTCAGACCTAAGAGGTGACAGTCCTTCTCCAAAGGCATCCCCAATCCATCTTCCCATAGTCATCTGTTGTGGCTTGTATGTAGAATCTCTCCACTAGCCTCATGTGTTTGACTACTTAGTTCCAGCTGTTAGCTGTTTTATAAGGTTATAGAAATGTTAAAAGATGGAATCTTGCATGAGGGAGTGACTCCATGGGAGTGGGACCTTGGGGTTTTCATAACCCAGTTCTACTTCCTGTCTGGTCCTCAGTTCCACTAAAATATGAGGACTACCAACTGCACACTCCTGCCACCATGCCTTCCTTTTCCATGGTAGATGGTGGCCCCTTCAACTGTGAGCCAAAAGAAACTCTTCCTTCCTTAACAAGTGGTTCTTGTCAGATGTTTGGTCACAGCAAGAAAAAAAATTCTTGCTGGACAAGACTTTAGAGTATCTACCTTGAAATGGTTTATGAAGCCCAAAGCAACTTTCCTTTATCTTTGCAACTCCCCAAGATCTTTACAACATTCACTCATTCCTGAGTTAGGACAAGCAGGAGGCTCTAATTTTCCATTTGCCCTTCCTAGCCTGCTTCCTCCTACCCCAAGCCAGCAGAGGTAACCACCCACATTTTTGGAAATGATAGTCAAGAAACAAAAGCAGACATTGTTCTCTTGACCCAATCCATTACCTCCACGAATGAGGCTCGAAGCCCGAGCACGTTCCCTTGCATCGCAGACAAGACACTCCTCTTGCAGACTGCTGCTGGCTCAGAGACATCTGGAAAAGGAGACACAGAGAGGGTGTTTTCCTTCACATTGACCTCTGGTAGACTTGGCATTACAGCAAAGGGACTGTGTGGGGTTCAAAAGACTCCTGATCAATATGCTGCCACTCACTGTTTACTGGGAAAGAGAAGAACATCCGGGAATGAGGCCATAGGCTACAAGTGTTGAAGGGTGGGGCCCTTCCTAATAAAAGCTCTACTGGGGCTCACTGCCAGGATCCAGGGCTGTCTCTGAATGCCTGGGCAGTCTGGAAAGACTGCTATGAGGGGCCATCTGCTTCTCTTCCCACCTTCCTTAATCTGTCTATCACTGGAACAGAATCTTCCAGGGTGTCTCTCCTTCCTTGCCTTCTGATTCATCAATAGGATGTGACTGAACCAATGCTACAGGCACAAGCAAAGGAACACGCCCCCAGCTGTTTATGGCTCAGGGAAGGACTTAAATATTTTCCTAATGCACCAAAACCAATCTCATGAGCATTTGAAAATCTCCTCTGGAGGGAGGGTAACACATAAGGCAGGCTTTGTTATTCCTTGCTAGCCCAAGAAACCAGAAATGCCTTTGGCTGCCATTGCTGCTGTGGTTACATCCATTGGCTCTCCTGGGGTCCTCAAACCAGGAGCTTTACCCACAAACTCACCAGAAATGCAAAATCCCTGGCCCCCTTTCATCACATTGCCTTTTAACAGAATTTCAAGAAATGTATTACATTAGAATTGGAGAGGTGGTGGGTTAGTGACGGATCTGCAGGCTGAGAAACTTACCCCAGCTTTCTCCTGGGGGTGGGAGAGGGGAAGGCTTAGTAGAGGTGTGTATACCATCTTGGTCTTATCAGAAGCAGGCTGGGCTCAACCCATGAGAACTGTAAAGGAATAAGCTCCTCATTTTAACAAATGCACAGTGTCATAGTATTTACTTAGTGTCTACTCCCTGCTGTGTGTGGGGGCTTTAATGTTAGATGCTGTATGCCCTAAAGGGATACATAAGTCAGGGACTATAGAGAGGGAAGCTCATAATTCTCACTCAATTTTGCAAACTGCTGCTGAGTAACAGCAAGGGTTATGCTGTGGTGCCAGATTGCAAGTCTAGCAATGGTAAGAGCTATGATCTGGACATAAACATCAGATGTACGGAAGAAGGCATCTGTCAATAAACCCATGTGTGGCGACTGGGGAGACTTCTTCAACTAGGTCACTTGGGAATTTAGACTGTGCAGGTTGTAGGGACAGAAAATGGAGGGAAGGGAAGCCTGGCAGTGGAAAGGGACTGTGAAAAGAACAAATGGTAGAATGTGTATTGTGGGGTGACAATCTGAGTGTGCTTCTGGGGACATTTGTGCTCAGGCACAATCCACATGAAAGAGTCTTACATTGTCCTGAACTCATAGTGCAGGGACAGGCTAGATTTGCTGTCTAGTGAGCCCAGGATATCTCCTTGTTTCTGCCTCTACAGCTCTGGTATTGCCAGAATGTACCAACTACCACACTGATTTTTGTTTATGTGGGGTATAGGGATAAAATTCAGGTCCTCATGTTTATAAGGTAAGAATTTTCATGACTTTTCTATAGCCCTCTGTTTGGTTTTAAAAGACATGTGTGGATGTGGGGGCCAGGAGGGTATCTAGTGAAGTTTGTAAGTAAATCTACCCTCATTGCCAGTGTTAGGATTCAGCACAGTGATCCTCTACAATCTCCATCTCCTGCACCCAAACCTCCCAACAACTAGACCAGCAGTCTACTTGTAGGCATTCAAGGGACAGTGTGCTATATTTGTGTCTGATTAGTATTAAAATCATGTTATACTTTTTTTTCCTGAAATGGGCCTTATCATGTGATCTATTCTGGCCCCAAATGTGAGATGCTCCTGCCTTAGCCCCTTGGGGGTTACGATTACAGATCTGTGCTAAGTGTGAGCACTGAGATGGCTCAGATCACTAACCATCTATCTTCCTCAGGTGGGGGCCGTGTTCCATGACAGAACTTTGCTCCTTAAAGCTATTGGCCTTTATCTGTGCTTGCAACCACCTCCTCCCCTCCTCCCTCACACCTTGAATTATACTAACTGAAATACAGCAATCTTTCCACGCTATTCATGTGCTTCCAAGTTTACTTAATTCATGAATAAGGCTTCATTGTTGGAGTGTTTCAGGTATACCCAGGGGCCTGGAAACAAGACATTCACAGAAGCATTTCCTAAGTGTCACAGCAGGCCTGAGCAGAGCTCATCTTCTATTGAGGGGCTATTCAACAGTCCTCCCAGAAGAGAAGTAGTTTTGAGGACGGATCTGGACTTGAGCCTCAATGTGGCTGCTAACTCCTGTTCGGTTGAGAAACAGTGATGTAAGACAGTGCTGTTCCTCAGCGTGTCAGCCTGTGATGTGGGGACCAGCCTCACTGTGCTGGGTCTGGCATTTATCAGCTATGTGTGTGACTGGATGCAAGCCTAGATTAGATTTCTACTTTGTAAAACTAGAAAACCCCATGGGTGGGGCTACCTGGCTTTTGTTCCCCACAGTACTCATTTGTGAGATGTTACAGAGTAGTTCCTAGTAGCAGGGTGGAAGTGAGGACCACGTGACTGAATACAAATGGTGGGCACTGGACGTGCAAGGCTTCCAACCTTTGAGATGTACTAGCTGCAACAAGAGAGTGTGGGTAGTTAGCCCCTCTTTCAGGGAGGAGGGCCCTGATGAGGGCTCAGGCTGGGTTGGGTTTTAGTACCACTTTTGTCCCTCTCTCTTATTCTACAGGACCAGTGGCTGGGCTTGTTGAGTCTTACTCTTCCTGATTCACCGGGATAATCAACATGCCTCATGGAGTCACCAAGAAGGTTAAGTGAGAAACTGGGAAGGATGTAGCACACACTTATTATGCACCGAGTATTTGATGTTGTTGTTAGATCTTATAAAAGACAGTTTGATAGACCCTGAACTGGTTGTTCTGGAACTTTCTTTCAAGCGTTCACTTCCTTAGGGACTTCTGGTGAACTATTTTTGAAGGGCAGACCCCATATGTTTTAAATTCTCTACTTTCTTTCTTATGTATTTGTTGCCTCTATGATTAGATTTAAAAAGTAAAAACAAACAAACAATCAAACCAAAACCCAAGGCCAACACAGGCTCCATACTTTGTGATTAACTCAGTAAGCAAGGCTGATTTTAGCCTTTGTCCTTGAGAAAGTCTTCTGTTTTTGTTCTGTTTTCTATTAATTAAATTTGTTTGTTGACAATTTCATACATGTACAATAAATACATTCTCATAATCTCATCCCATCTTCTCTTATCTCTCTTCCCATCAGGTCAACCTCCCCCACTATAAATCTGTTTCTCACATCATGTCATTTTTTTGATTCGTGACCTACTGAGTTTTAACCAGAACTGTACACTTGTAAACATGGTTTGGAGCTATCCATTGGAACCTGGTGGGTACACAAAAGAAAAGATTGACAAATCACTTCCTAGACTCTCTCAGTAGTTGTTATTTCAGCAAGAGGGTCAGGGCTCTATGAGCTCCTCTCCCATCTATGACTGGCTGCCGACAGGCCAAGATCATGCAGGCCCAATATAGGTAGTCCAAATGGCTGTGTTGTACCCAATAATCTCTTTCAGTGAAGCTGTTCCTAACCAAGAAAGGGCATTATTTTTTAAGCAAGTGATGATGGAGGAAGTCTATCCTTGGGCCAAGTAGGCATAGCTATGTAGGTACAGGAAGCAGAACTTAGTCTCCAGTCTGCCAGTGGGCCAGTTTCCATGACAACAAAAGTTTTAGGAAAGAAAAATAATGGCCTTGCAAGGAAGACTTACATTTGGGCAGTTGAGCCATGCATGTAACTAGTTTTCTGGCTGACTATTCAATACAATAAACAGTCATTTTCTCACTGCATGCTGTTCACTGGAGACAGGCAGACCCAAGAATCTTCAACACACAGGAATTGGTGACCTTGCTGATTGAGGAGAGGGAGGGGCATTAGCCATAAGCAGAGCTCTGAACAAGAGCCTCTGGTTTATAAACAGTGCACTTCTCTGATGGAGATGTTGTTGACCAACAGACAACACTGTGTCTCCAGCCTCTCCCAGTAGCTGAGAATAGATACTTAAGGGAACCATCCTCTTAGCAAAGGTTTCTTAGAACATGGGTTCTAGTCCCTGTTTTCTCTTGAAGGCTCTGGTTTGGTAGGATGTGGGATCATGTAATATAATGCCTCAGAACTGAATCGTTCTTTCTTTTAAAAATGTATTTTCTACTTTCTTGTTTTTATATCCAAACCAAAGTTTCCCTTCCCTCTTCCCAGCCCACCCCACACCCTTTAAAGACTTAGATCTTCAAATGTCTTAGGTAGCTCCTGGAGGTGTGGGGAGCAAGAGACAGTCAGGGGACTCTAGTGTCCTCTGAGCACTTGCTTTCTGGTAAACTTGTAGGGGAAGTCTCTGTCCCTCTCTCTCTCTCTTTCTCTCTCTCTCTCTCTCTCTCTCTCTCTCTCTCTCTCTGTGTGTGTGTGTGTGTGTGTGTGTGCGTGCGCGCACATGTACATGCATGTGATATGCATGTGATGCATGTGGAGGCCAGAGGTTAACAATGAGTGCCTTCCTCTGTTGTTCTCCGCCTTATGCTCTGAGACACTGTCTTTGAGGTCACTGAACCAGTAGTTCATTCTTTTAGCTAGGGTGTCTGGCCACTGAATTCTGGGAATCCTCTTGTCTCCACACTGGGATTACAGGTATGCATCCCCACTCCTCACTGTCTGGCTTGTATGCAAGTGCTGACGATGCAAACTTGGGCCCTCACACTTGGCACTTTATGGGCAAGACCATCTCCCCCACTCCCCAGGAACTGTCCTACTAACAAAATGTCACCACAAACAATATAGGGCTGAGATGAAGAGGAATTTAAAAGGGAGAGTACAATGCGGAGTCCAGGATGAACATGGGAATTAGATAAGAGGTGTACATTCAGTTTCTTTCCCCTTGTGGAACTCACATAAATTGGAAAAAAT